GAGAGAAAGGGGGGGGGGGGGGGGGGGGAAAAGAAAAAATGATATTACCTTCCTACTTTCAGTTACAATATCAAAAAACATATAAAAGCTTTCTCAAACTGTAAACCCACCTCTTTTCTGGATGCTACAGGGTCCACCTGTCCCCCGAATTCTGACGGACTTTTAAATCAAAGAATGCTTATAACAGTTTAGAAGGAGCAGTTCTGTTTGTGCTTTTTATAGGGACAATGAAGCAAATAAACGGCAATCATCCACTTGCTGCTCCAGTCCATATAGCGTAAGGCAAGTTCCATCCTGAAATAATTAAAGAGGGAAAGATGAACAAAATTTTACTTTTGTAATCAAGACTTCTGCGAATGAAATACATTTACTCGAGTTGCACAACACTAACAGGCTGTGGCTACTTGGTGAGGTGCTCGCATCTGGGACGCATTAGTGTACATGTGTGTATTTTTACTAGTGGATTTGACTTACTGTACATGTAGCGGAAAAATAATTTGTGAGATGTAGCATCGTGATGTTACGGCATCATTAAATTCTTAATGTGCATTATCATTATGCTTACGAGCCAGCCGTGTTTCAGATTGTCTGAAGGCTGTACAATAGTACAAATAAAAGGAGCCAGAAGACCTAAAAGGCTTTTTTTCTTGCAGCAACAGCATGAATTTGTCCCTGTCCGCATAAGAAATACGCATGAATACTATTAAAACAATTCACTGTGGATTTCTTTCCAGCAGCTATTCTTCTCACCTCTAGTACCGCTCTGCACGTATACGTAAACACAGCCCTACGTAATTCTGCTTACGCTGTAAAATTTAACATTGTGTAATATACAGAAATGTATATAAACTTATAGCGTGACTCAGTTAATACTGCGACCGTGGCTTTAATTCTTGCATTTCTTGACGCATAAGTTTCTGTGGGCGATAACTGTGCTAATGCATGTTTTGCATTTCATGCCTGTAATAAGCAGCCTAGTATTTAATAAACTCTGCTCCCATTGTCGAAATAATAGAAAATTAGCATTTAGATGCTCGCCTATGGGATACGACATTTGCACTTCTCTTGGTTCAAGACAAGATAGAATCGAATTTGTTTTTCTGCTGCTGACAGAGGATTTTATTAACTGTGTGGACGTGGGTCAAACTTCCTAGTTCATCACAGCACCTTGCCGACAGTGAA